GACTCTTTCCAGAATGTCCACATCTCTCTTTGTACCGCGGAGCCCAGAACTGGACAGAGCCCCCAGATGTGACTTAGCACTTCTGAATAGAGAGGAAGGATCACCTCCCTGCATCTCCTGTCAGTGCTTTTCTCACTTCAGCTCAGGATGTCATCGGCCTTCTTTGCCACAAGGGCACATTAGTGACTCATAGTGACCCTGGTGTCCACCAGGATCCCCAGGGCATTTTCCAACAAGCTGCTTTCCAGCTGGTCAGCCCCCAGCCTGTGCTAATCTATGGGATTATTCCTCTCTAGGGGAAGTAATTTGCACTTCACTTTGTTGAACTTCATGAGGTTCCTGTCAGCCCATTTGTCCAGCGTGACAAGGTCCCTCTGAATGGCAGCAGCAATGTCTGGTGAAACAACCACTTCCCCAATTTTGTGTCATCAGCAAACTTGTTGTGGTGCACTCTGTCCCATGGTCTAGGTCATTAAGACATTAAAAAGTATTGGCCCCAATGTTAGCCACTAGGTTACTCCACTAGTGCCTGGCCTTCAACTGGTCTTTGTGCTGCTGATCACAATTCTTTCAGCCCAATAGTTTAGCCAGGTTCAAGCGCACCTTACTGTCCACTTATCTAGCTGATACCTCAACAGTCTGTCTTATGAGCATTTTGTGGGAGACAGTGTCAAAAGCCTTATTACAGTCAAGATAAACAACATCCGCTGCAGCTAGTCAACAACAACACTGAGCTAGTCGTCTCTTCAGAGAAGGCTGTCAGGTTGGTTAAGCATCATTTCCCCTTTGTAACTTCATGATGACTGCTCCCTATGCTCTTCTTGTTCTTTATATGGTCCATCACCTTCCCAGGGATTAGGGTGAGGCTGACCACTCTAGTTTCCCAGATCCTTCTTCTTGAAGGTAGAAATTACATGCTTCCTTCCAGTCCTCTGAAACCTCCATAACCTGTCAAACATTATTGAACCTCTCTCAGCGCTCATAGGTGCATCACATCAAGTGCCATGGGCATGTGTATGTCGAGTTTGTTTAAATGTTCCCTGAGCTGATCCTCCTCCACTAAGACTATGAGTCACAGGGACCTGGGGTTGCTGGAGGCAAGTGTTATGTTTAAAGACAGAGTTGAAGATGGCATTGAGGTGTTGAGTGCTTTGGCCTTTTTAAAATTCTTTGCTACCAGAGACCCTGCTGTTCTCAGCAGTGAGCCCACCTTATTCCTTGTCTTTATTTTGCTGCTGATGTACTCACAGAAGCCTCTTGTTGTCCTTGGTGTCCCTCGCCATATTCAATTCCACACAGATTTTGGCTTTCCTCACCTCATCCCCGCACGCTTGGACAATGTCTCTAGATTCCTTCTGGTCTCCTCTCCCTGCTTCTACATCTTGTATCCTTCCTTTTACATTTGAGTTTAGTCAAGGGAGGTCCTTGTCTGTCCATGCAAGCCTCCTGCTGTCTTTGCTTGACTTCAATCATTGTTGATCTTGGAGGAAGTGATTCTTGAAAATCAACAAGCTTTCATGGACCCTTCTTCTCTCCAGGCTGATATTTAACTGGATTCTTTCAAGTAGGTCCCTGAAAATGCCCAAGTCTGCTCTCCTGAATTCCAGGGTTATGATTCTGCTTTTTGCTTTTGTCCCTCCTCTGAGGTTCCTGAACTTCCATCATTTCAAAGTTGCTGCAGACAAGGCTGCCCCTGACCTTTACATCCCTGACCAGTTTTTCCTTGGTTGTAAGCATGAGGTCCAGCAATGTGTCTCCCCTCATTGACCTGTTGATTACTCGTGACAAGAATTTATCATCAAAGCTCTCCAGAAGCCTCCTCAATTGCTTGTGCCCTGCTGTGTTGCCCCTCCAGCATATAGTGGAGTGATTCAAGTCCCCCATGAAGACAAGGACCTGCAAACATCTGTCGTCTTCCATTTCTCTTAAGACTACTTCATTCTTCTTCCTGATGAGGAAAGATCAGCAGGGATCCACCACGTCATCTGCATTGGTCTGCCCACACTGGACTCATACTCTCTCAGCTGGCTCGTTGACCATCTCAAGGCAGAGCTCCATCCATTTACACTAGTGTTCCACATAAATGGCAACTTCTTGCCATTCTGGCCTGTCCTTCCTAAAGAGCCTGTATCCATGTGTAGAGCACTCCAGATCTGTGAGTTATCCCACCTTGTCTCCATGATCCCAAGGAGCCCTGCACCTGCAGACAGATCTGTAATTCCTCTTGTCATCCTCCAGGGGGACATGCTGTGTGCATTTGAACAGCAACTTCTTTCGGGCACCCAGTTGCGCTTTTTTTCCAGGAAGACTCTTAAGAGCCTCCCCCATACTGATGTCCTGTCAGTGCTCCATTTTTTATGTGCATATGCTTGAAGTGGTCCTCCTTGAGCCTTGTGTTTTTCATCACAAGGTCTTTCCTGTCCACACCAGCCTGTGCCCTTTGCTTGCCAGCCCAGGCAACACCTCCCTAACTTGTTACGTGGTCAACATCTCTGTCCCCCATCATTCCTAGTTTAAAGCTTCCCTTGCCAAGTTGGCCTGTGTGTTATCAAAGATGCTTCATTCTGTGAATTTATTTGTATTGCACCATTGATGCTGAATAATTCCTGGTAAGAGTGAGCATCATTTCCTCCTTCCTGTGTAAAAATGAAATAAAAGGATGTTCCCCTTGTGGATTTAAAATGTAAAAATAGTACCTCATGCACTAAAGAAGATAAAAGCAGTTGTAATGTACCACTGCAAGTTAAATACAGTGTTTGTGTATTGCTGTGTCTCAAGAATTTTTCAGATTGCAACTATTTCCCTTTGTAAAACTTCTTACTAAAAAAAAAGTTAGGTTACATATATGAAGAAATAAGGTTTGATTTTTAAAATGTGGCATAATGGAACTTGACTGAGTTTCCTTATATTGAAAAATCCTTGAGTTTAACAAGAGCAAACATGTTAACATGTTCAGACTGTGCTGCAGTTTTTGGGTGTCTGCAAGGTTTATCTCACCCCGCTGCAGTCCCCTCCCCTTTAGGGTATGACTTAAAGCCTGATAGAGTCAACAGAAAAGATTCCCATTGATCTTAATATATGTTGTGAGCAGACCATTAGAGAACACAAAATACTGTGCATTCTCGGGTGACAAACACAGATAACTACACTGATGTCTGCGTACAACTTAAAGAGCGGCGATATAGCAGAGTGGACTTGGCAACAGTTACTACCAACACTTCCAACAGTATCTGAGGATTCAATGGGTTTGAATCCTGCCATGTTTCTTCCTTCCACAACAAAACAAAAATCTGTCTGGAGAACCTGTGCAAAATTAATATAATCTGTGTTTTAACTGCAGTGCAAAGATGTGTCATTTTCTGGTATATACTCACAGTCAGGGAAATGAAACAAGTGCGTGTTTGGAAGCCTGTTGTACAGAGTGTTGGAAAGTGCTAATATATCACTGTGTCCTTATTTCTGCTGCTGTGCTTGTGAACAGAATTAATTTAGTACATATGAAGTACATACTGCAGTTGTACTTTGGTTTTGTAACATAAAGAGTCCTTAATGCACCTCTACTGTTTTTAATTTTGAGGAGCTACTTTACATCTCATTGAGAACATTAGGACTTAAATACCGTTAGTAAGCATGTCCTTAAGTGTTCTCCTGTATTGGCCTGTTTACAGGCTTTTTAAACAGTGTTTTTTTTAACAATATGAAGTTGTCGTGACTGTGCTTTTGTGGTACATGTAACTTAATTTTTTACATAATTATTCAGATATTGTACCTTTAGTGAATGATCAATGTGTTAAGTAGTGACACAGGTATTAAGAAATGCTTTTTGGAAAGTTCCCTTGAAATGGTTTCTTTGTCATTCTGTTGTTTCTCAGGAAAACACAATGAAGTTGGTCTTACTGCTTACCTTTTGTATGCTAATCTTTGACTGGACATCTCCAGCAGTGTTATAAAAATGTAATGATAACTCTTGTTGTTAATGATAATTCTAGACATAGAGAAGTTGAATACGTGTTGGATGTCACCGAGAAAATAATTCTTTGAGGAAGAAAATTAGTTGGAGTGATAAACTTATTTCAGTATCTGTATGTAATACTAGTATGAAATGTGCATGTGAATGAAACAGGGAATTAAGTAGAAAATACATAAAAAAGGATTAATGGAGTCATCTGAACTTTTAACATACGTTACAGAAAATATTCCAAGTTTTTAATCATGGTTTAGAATATGTGAAAGTTACTGATCTTCATTTCCACCTTAATTTATAAAGTCTATCAGCAGTACAGTAAAATTCTCAAGCAGACTGATTATACAGGATCTATCCTATGGTTGCATTACAACACGATTCCTATTATTGTGTTTATAGGTGTGTATTATTTAACATAACAATAGAAATTGTTATTGTTATGTTAAATAATACACACCAAAGTTTACTTACTTTGCTTATGGTTGTTACTTGGTTGTTACTTTGCTTATGCTGTACCTGCAAACAAAAACTAATTTATCAGAAACCATGCTTCATGTGTCTAGGGAGTAGATGCATTACAGAAAAGACACTTGTTTTACACATATTCTGCAAGTTAAGAAAACTTTTATCTTTTTTCTGATAGTTCTAGATTAAAAAAAAAAATTAAACTTATTTTACAGACTATGTATTCTAAATATTTTACATTTTGACACTTACTGCTAAAGAGTTAACTGAATATTGATTAGAAAGTGTTGAAAGCAGTAGGAAAAATCCATTTATTTTAGAACAGTTAGAGCATTAGAGGGAAATTGAAAGGCATTCCATTTTGAAACTTAACTGTTTTGTAGATATTTCACAAAAGTATGTGGTAAATATTTTACATGTAACTTCTAGGGTTTATAAGGCAATTGACAGAAAAATCAATGAAAATAGCAAGCTCATTATATACAACAAAATTATTTGAACACAATTGTTTAATGGTGGAGGTCATTGTTTTTCTTTTTCTTAATTTCTCTTTATTGCTTGTTTTGCACAGGAAGGAGTTACAGGAGCTGCAGAATCTTTACAGACAAAACATTGAACATGCAGCACAGCAGGCTGAGCTCATAAAGCAGCTTCAGGCTCTCAACACTGATACACAGAAAGTACTGAAAGACCAAGAAGATGCTCACACAGCTGAAACAACATCATATCAAAAAGTATGTCATTCTGCTTTATGATCACAAGGTTCATTTTAATATCCATCTCTACAATATCAATGGACAGACTAATCAAAGCACTGTGTAGTGTTTCATTCTTTAGATCTCTGGATCTTTATAGTTACCAAAATATCGTTGACAGAGTAACGGAGTTTAGTGGCCTAATTACATCCCACCATATATGGCCCCTTGCTTACATTGAATTGATGAGCGTTAGTTGCACTTGAAGAAAAGTAGTAGTGAATTGCCAACCATGTAAATTTCTTTATGAAACTTTGTGTTATATATGTTTTTCTTCTTCTTCCTTTCCTGGAGCTTTCAATTATTAAATTCTCCCATGTGTTTTTGATAATTTAAGACAATAAATTAATTTCACTTGTAAATAGTGTTATTTGTGTGAATCTCAAACAAACCCGCTCTATCAAAATTAACTGGAACAATTTTTGCCATAATAGTTTTTTAAATGGATATGAATTAAAAAAAATCCCCTACATTTACATTTACAGAACAGATTTGTATTTTTTATGAATGCCAGGGAAAACGCTAACCCTGAAGAGCTGCACTACTCAGAACTTCTCCTTTTGAGTGTAACAAATTATATGGATTTTTTTTTCAGTCTGTAAGAAATACAGAAAATAAATTTCCTTCCTTTTTAGAAACATTGAGAAGGAAGAAGACAAGGAGGAATACAACTTTAACATACCTTCTAGCAATCTTAGAACTGTTTTTGCAAATTGTGTACTGTCTGTGATCTTTCAAAAATAGGTGTTTCTCTTTATCATCTTAGAGCATGCAGTTTGTGATAAAATTGTGAATCTGGGCCTAAGTCAAGCCAGAATCAGTACTGAGTTTCTAAAGATGTGTTTGGTTAACATTTTATAGCACATAGTGCCTAGCCAATTCTTGTGTACTTAACTCTGCGCAAGTTTATCATTGACAGTGACAACAGACATTAAGTCTTTTATTCACTACAATAGTAGCCCAGGCAAGGTACAAGTAGACTTCCATCAAAGTTGTTCAGAACCTGTCCACGGCAGGAGGAGTTCTACCTATCTGGGGCAAGACAAAGTAAATTATATCATTTTTTAAAAAAAACAAAACCAGAATGTAGGTATCAGGAGTGGCTATTTCTTTTGTTTTTCAGTCTCCAGTCAGTGGTTCTGTAGGTGTTAAATCGATCCTTTGAGTCACTAAAAAAACCCCCAAACACAATACTATTCCAGACTAGTTCTACAACATATGAAAGAAACTAAAACTGGGTTTTCATGAGTCTTTTAAAGCATGATGAAACTCTTTATAAAGGTCTCTCTACCTTGCATAATAGTGATTTTTCCTGTATTACTTACTTTAATTTGGGAAAGAGTTTAACCCATCCTATTACTTACGTATTATGGAAAATCGATGGGTGTACTGATATAGCTATAGGAGCAAGCTGCTTATAAACTGGGCTTCCGTCAAATTTCAGGATTGCTTCAGAAAGCTGGTTCACAGTTCTTGGTCTGTCTTAGCAGGACTTGAGACTTCTGCTTAGCTGATCATACAACAAGAACAAGAAGAGTGTGGTTTTGAAAATAAACCCTTTTTTTTGATAGCTGCCAAATACTTCACCTCATAGATGACCCTAAAATTTGCTGGTCTGGCGGTGTTAATTCAATATTTTTCCAACATGGAGGAGTAAGGTTTGCCTGTTAAACCAGCAAAAGCCAACTTAAATATTCTGACTAATTACTATTGTGGAACTGATAAGCTGTCTTTTTGTAAAATACCAAAATGTCTAATGCAGCTGAAAAAAATGTTCTTTTTTTATAAAAATATGTTAAAAAACAAATGATCCATTTTAAAAAAGGATAAAAAAGAAGTTAAGTTCCCTAAGTCAGAGTGGAATAGATCTAATAATGTTTGTGGTAAATTGAGTTGAGATAACTTTGGAGGAGAAAAAGGAGTTCCTGTATCATGACAATCCCGTTCTATACTTCTCATTAGAAGAACTGTATAAAATGCCCAACTGTAATCACTTCAAAGTAACATGCGTTTTCCAAATCAAGGTACACAGTCCTACTGAAGTCACAGCAGGCCTTTGGAAAGCTCAGCATCTGTAAAAAGAATACAAATGACTATTTTTCCCTTGAATGAGAAAGGCAAACTATTGCAGACAAAAGTGTGTTGTGTTTGTTTTCCATGCATTAATAATATGCAGGCTGCACCAGCTAGATAAGGATGTGTCAGCTATTCCATAGACATATTCACAAAGGAATATTTTCCTACTGCTCCAAATGGCATTCAGCCTATCAGTGTGTACATCCTATGATATATTGTCCCTTACAGCAAGATCAATGACCTCTCTGCTAGTGGTCAGATAGGCAGTACAAGCTATAGCTCAGGCAATGTGGTTGGCTCACATATTCCAAGCTCATCTTAACAGTCTACCATTTAGGAAGAACCACTCTCTGCTGATGTTAATGTGTAGTATGAAACAGTAGACTTGTGTAAAAGAAAAAACATTTCTGATAAACCAGATCAAGGTCATGAACTTGCACTGGATTATGTGTAAATCCACTGAGGACCACAAATTCTCTTCCATGTCTAGCAGTATTGGGCAGCATGCACACGTGAAGATGCATAATCTGTTTTATCAAGTTGCATTGACTTGACATACTGCTAACTTTTTTTCCTTTAAGTACAAATTTTAGTGGTGCTCTGTTCTACAATAACTCCTTTACGTTAGAGCATTTTTGGAAACAAATTGATATCTATTTCATATTGCAGCTGTAGTTCTCATTCTCAAGGATAGGGAATGTTTTTGTAAAATGTATAGCATCTGTTATAGTGGTCCCAAATGCTCTGGGGACTTCATTCCTGTGCTGGATTTAATGAAACTCAATAGATTTGTCCTCACCAACAATTTCAAGGTGGAAAGACTTCAATCAATACTCGGGATAATAAGACAAGAAGAGATTCTGAACTCCTTAGCCAGCTTATCACAGTTTTCTGAAATTTACAATTTAGGGCCTTTGTTTTTATAATGCAGTACTTTCCCTTGATCTGATGTGGCCTTTAGGTTCCTTGTTAATCATACTGATGAAAAATCTCTTAGTGGAAGGCCCTTTTAGTGAAGTGGAAATACTGTTATTTGTCATTAAATAGGAAATTGTAATTCGTGTCCTGGAACTCAGCTCCTGGAACAAGAAATAGAGAATACTGTGGTTAGTGGTACAGTTCATGTCTGTCATGAAGAAAAGCATTGCTCAATAGTTAGATTTTTGGCATAATTAGAAAACACAGTAAGAGTTTTCTATTATGAGGCATGGCAGAAGTCTGCATCAAGTGCACCAGAAAGTGTATAAAAATAGGATAATGTCAGATACATGTTCAGGTGTTGTGGTTAATTCTGCAGTTGCCTTTCCTAGTCATTATGATGGTGTCAGTGTGAGAAGATAGTTTGCTTTCCTTCAAGCCTGAGAAATTGTAATCAGAATGTCAAGTTACTGGCTTTGTCAGCCTAAGGTTAAAATTTACCACTTCCAATCCTTTTTGTGACTGCAGCAACCTTTAAACATTGTTAAAAACCATATGTGTTTATTTTTATGTAAGCAGCATTAAATTCACAAAATGAGAACTAAAATCATATAGATGTGTAAATGTTAGTAACAATGCAGGTTCTCCCTCAAATTGGAATGAAAACCTAAGTTCTTTCACACATCATAAGACATGAAAGAGACTAACTATCCAGTGAAATATACTGAAGTCCACATCAGTAATAAGTGCATCACCATTTTTTTAGTCCACTCTGTCTGTGAAAGGTGTGAGAAATTTGTATCTTTAATAAATATTATCTCATACTTTAGTTCAAGCTCTGATACTGTTTTCTATTTTTGGGTAGTGTGTTAATTAGGTTAGTCTTGCATACCAAACAGCAATACAGTTGGTCACATATTAACAAGTGGATTTGGCATCAGATGTGCCCATAGGTTAAAGTTGAAGAAATCCTGAGTAGACTGGTTCTCTCAGGGTGATGTTAAACTCTGCACTTGCTGGCGATGATTTTCATGCTTGAAAAACCCTGTACTGATACTCAGTGTGCTATAGTTCCTGTGCATAATGTAGATTGTTATCTGCAGAATGCTTAAGTATTTTGGGGGAAAAAAATTAAATAATTTATAATTCTAAATCTGTCACTAATGTTTGCAAACCATTGTCTTAATGTTTCTGGCAACAATGATGTATTTTTTTACAATGTGAGAGCAATAGATGAAAGAAATTACGTAAACTGGTGAGGCAATGCAAGGGGAGCTGTACATCAAGAAAGGAAGAAAAATCTTAAGACTAAGCTTACTTAAATATGTTTGTAAGAAATGTCATTTTTGATCTGAGTTAGAATTATAAGATTTAAATATATCTGAATTTAATCAGATTGATCCTACAATGGAGGATTTTAAACAATAACCTTTGCAGTATGAGTTATTAATATTTTTTTGTTTTAACTAGGACTGGTATTCTTCACAAGCCTGCTGAATGTTCTCTGACAGTACACTATATAGAGAGAAGAAATGTAAATAGGTTTTGGTAGCATTTCACAGAGAAGTTAGTGCTGATAAACACCGTCTTTCTGAGAGAAGTGTGTCAAAATTTTTATATATTCAAAAAAGGAGTTCACAAACTCCACAGTTATCCATATCAACACAAGGAGATGCACAAAACTGATTAGATGGATGAACACTGGAAAGCTACATTAATGCTGGTGGGGAAGTCAGTTATGAAACAGGAAATACTGGATTCATTGAAGGAAATAGACTCATCAGTTTGAATTTTTGCAGTAAAAACACTGATCAAAAAGACTGAAATGTCCTTTTCTTTTATGTTTTCTTCTGTTATTTTTGAGAATGTATATTAGTAAAGTTATCAATTTTCTATGGTTTCCAAAACAACCAGAGCATTTGCAATTATGTAGTACCATAAAGCTGAGAAAAGGATGACTTCTTGTAGCTTATACTAGTGATTCGTGCTTGAATGTTTTCTGATGTTACTTACGTCCATTCTGTACTTTTTTTCATTTTTCTTCTCTCACTTGTGTCTGACATTTTTCCCTTGTATTGTAGGTAAGCTTCGTGGTCTCTCATCTTAAAAAATCACTCTACCTCTGCTTTTCCATTTTAAAACTAAACACCATGAACGTGGTCTGTATAGTCTGTCTGGAGTGCCTCTTCAGTTTCACTGTAGAGCTTCTCCAGCTGATTTCTGCCCTTGTTGTTTTCAAATTCTCATAAACAGCATGATCTTGTAACACAATTTCTGCGATGGTGCTGTAATAGTTTCCATTATAGTTTTATTGTGTCGTAACTTAAACTGTTTTTCATTTGTGTCGTTACTGTATGTTCACTATTACTGTATGTTCAGGCTCATTTGCTCAGGTCTCTGCAATACACTGTTTTTTAGGGTGTGAGTATTTAGATGAAACAATTAATGTAGAAGAATATCTGTTTTACACCCAGTGTAGATAATTGTCTGCTGTTGCATTTTAATTTAACACACCTTAGTGTTAGTTCCTCACAGGAGTATACTTTTGAAGGAAAACTCGTGGATGTCCCCGCTTTCTGTGCTTTGGTGATAACATGGAAAAGTCTATGAGAGCATTAACTAAATGCCTTTTGGATTATGGAACTGGAAATTATTTTGGAACTGGAAAATGTGTCCCAGCTGTTAATTGGCATTCAGTACACACGAGTCTAAACCTAGTTTAAAATAAATCCTGCACACTTGTATAATGTTAGTCTTGGTCATATGTGTCAACTGTTTCACTGTGCATTGTTTTTTTCTGGTTTCACTATGATTCTGGCTAAGATACAATACCACAGAGAGCATGGATTAATTATTTAGTTTTACTAGGTTTTGTTGGAATTCCTCAGCTTTCCTTGGAGTGACCTAACTGAATTTTGCCATCACACATATTTAATGTATGTCAGTACTTTACCTCACCCCACCATTATCAGGCTGTTATATATTTTCTGTCACATGTGGGCAGGCTTTAGAGTCACATCTTTTGGTTCTTCTGGAAGTCCTAGCTTTGGTCTGGCATTTTTAGGTTACTTGATGACATTAAACACACCTATTGTTCTAATGAAGTTTTCTGTATTAAGTAACTCTTCAAAGATCTAGCAAAAAGTAGTTTCTGATAAAATCGGTTAAATAAATGTAGGAAATTGTTAGGGTAGCTGAGAAATATGGTATACTTTATTTTTTCTAATTCAGATAAGTTGCTTTTCCTTTCTGACTGATAAATAATGCTCTTGTGTCATATAGACTAAATTTATTACAATGTACTGATTTCAGAAACTTTTAAACTTTTTTGTTTTTAACTACCTTCACCTGTAACATTCTATGTTGCCTGTCAGACAAGGGACAGCTCCAAGGCATTAGAAAGAAAATCTCAAAATGCAGTCAGTGCAACAGTTTTTGCAGAGCACAGTCTTGTGTCACTGGCTGTTGCCTTTTATTTTTCCAACTACCAAATGTCATAAAATATATAAAGAATTATTTTAATATTTTCCTTTTGGATTTTCTACTCAACATTCCATCTTTAGTCCTCTGATCTCCATTTTACGTCTTATGTCTCGACGCTTGACTTTCTGTATCTTTATTAATGGTAGACCTGTTGCACAGCATTGTGCAATTCTGTATGTTCTGGAATGTCCTTACTGCAGTGTGATTAAATATGGTGCCTGTTCTAAAACAGGGTCAGAAATGAGCAGAAAATCCCAAAATAATCCCATATAGACATCAAGCATGTATTTAACCCACAAAACGGTGCATGGCCATAAATGAAAAGATAGGAAGCCAAATGAAAATTTGGAAGCTGTTCCAGTTATCTGTGGACAGTAGATAAAACTATTTCTTTTCATACAGACAATTTTAATTTTGAAATGTCCTGATGTTAAATACCTTAAAAAAAAAAAAAAAATCTGAGTCTTATAAATTAGTACATTGGTGCTGTTTAAAAACACGTATAAACCTCAGTGTTAAAAGGTGAATGTTGTGAATGTGTTTTTTACACATAGCTTTTTGCTAATTTTATAGTTGAAGTACATGTGTTTTTCTTATTGCTGTTTTCCAAGCAGGGAAGTTTGGAAAAGTTTATGCAAGTAAAAGACATACTATTCGTCTTGTCCTGACAAATACTGACTACCAAAAATACCCATTAACTACGCTAGGGGATGTGGCTGCCAGCTAGAAAAAAGCATCATATTTTTGATGTTCTCCATTCATCTTACTAGGATGTTACTGTTCAGATACTATAATTACGACCACTTAAGTGCTGCTAGTTACAAAACCAGCAAATTGTCATACCGGTATGATCTAGCTAATGAGCTTCTATAGTTATAGCTCGAAGTAACTGTGTCTGGGTGTTCTGTTTGTTTGGAAGGACATTATCTAAAAATGCATGTTTTTGATAAATGAACTGTTTATTTTCCGGTGAGATACTTACTGATTTCCATAAGAAACTCGCTATTCTTGAACTTGCATTTCTAGAGATGAGGTAAGCTTTCTTAACTATGCAAGAAACATTCAGTAGGCACAAAAATTTCAGTTTCTTTTGAAATATCAGTCTCTCTAGACTTTGAATTAATTTGGCCTGAGAGACATGATCTCTGATCTGGTTTGGAAATAGGCAAGAAGTGGTTTGTCCTAAGTGGGCTTTGAGAGCCCAGGGGAATAGAAAATGACAGGAAAAAGGAAACGAAGGGATGATATTGTTTCTAAATTTCTCACAAAGTGTTAGGTAGACTGTTTCCAAATCTAAAAGTTCTGATTGTTTTTCAAGGCTTTAACTTCTAAGTGATGTAAGTACATGAAAGGGAGAAAGAAGTGTATCGTTTAAGTAAAGCTGACAAAACAAAGGGTAAGGTGAAGAATAGAATAATGTTTGTACAAGTAAAATGACTTATATCAGTTCCTTGTACTTACAAACATTATTGACAGATTTGGAAATTCTGATTTTTATATTTGATTAGTTTCTTTTGGATGGAATGGCAGAAATGGATTTTCCAAAGAAAACTGTCAGCTGTAGAAGTACATACCTTCTCCAGTTTATTTTATGGTAGAATAAATAGTTGGAGGGAATATTGTTTATTTTGAGAAAAAGGACAATCAAAGGAATGAAGGGCTGAAATGGAGAGGGAGAGGAATGTATGCTTAGGTTGTAAAGCTGTAGAGTCATGTATTTCCTTCAGAATCTATACTGTTGTTTATTTAACTACGGGTTTATTTTTCAAACGGGTTTTTATGTTTTTAAAATAAAAAGCTGATATTGTTTTAAACAGTTTTCATATGTTTATATTGAAAAAGAAGGATAAAAATGGATGGATGGGGTGGTTGTTAAGTTCTCTTATTCTTGAAAAATAAGTTTTTTGTCAGTTAGGTGGCATCTACTACTAGTTAGGTGTAGTTCTAGAAATTCTTAGTCTGTGTGGGATGTCTTCTAAAGCGGTTGCAGAATATATACAATATCCTGGTTTCAGCAACAGCCAGGGATAAAAACTTCTAATATCATCTCTGGGTTTTATAGTTAATGTCAAAAAATTCCCATAAAATAATTATTTAAACAGTAATTTTACAATTAATACAAAATGCAATAGGCATTAGTGGATTCACTGTATTGCTATCTAAGCTATATTAAAAATGTTAGCTTTAAAAGATAAAACTAGTCTGTAAAAGACAAGGATGGTACTTGGTATTGCCCCTTTAATTTCATTCCCAGGAGAGATGTTTCAATTTTTTACCTCTTCTCAATAAGGTGATTTTTTTGGGTTTTTTTTTTTTGTATTCTCTATATTTTATATAATCTGCTCAAGTAGTAAAATAAATCCTGATTTTTAGTTGTCCATTTCTGTTCATAAGAAGCAACTGAAACTGATAACATTCTAATGTAAGTTGTATTTTTCTGGAAAAACTTCTTTCAAACGTAAAAATTTCAGTGATTGTTACAATCACTATTTTCAAATACATAGAGCATGACAGGAGGCAGAGGACAAGAAGTGTGAAAGAACTGTCTAAATATAAAAAAGAGAGGGTGATCTCTGTAGGCAATTTACTTAAATTTTACATTCTCTCCTCCTGTATTTATATGGCTAGCTGCATTGAAGTTATTTTTAATCCTGTTATTTCTCTTTTCCCCTCTCGTAGCTTTATAACGAATTGACTTTATGTTTTGAAACTGTAAAAACAAGTGAAATTCAACTGCAGAGAAGCTGTGCCTCTCTTCAGGATCAGTTACTTGGAAAAGATCAAAAGATTTGTCATTTACAAGAGCAACTGCAGCAGGCTTGTGATGCTTTAAATGCAGTACATCAAAATTCTTCCCCAAAATGTGAAATACAGGTGAGTCCTAGTCCTATTCCTTCTAGAATAATAACAGTTGTTTCTTCTTGTTTAGAATTAAGCTTCTGTACCAGGCACTTTTAAAGGAAATCACAGGTTTGTTTTGTTTTTTAAGAAAAACTGTGCAACTGTGCTGCTGCAGTAGTGTAATTACTTTTGCTGTTGCTAATAGAAGGTACTTCACAATGAAATCTGTCCTGGGAAAAAGCCTGAGTAACGGTGTCATTATTCAAGAAGACTCTTATTTAAGTTCTCTAACAAAGACACCAAGAATAAAAATAAAACAAAAGTGACTTTTTTCCTGGAAACAAATTTCTTGAAAAAATTGTGTGGTTTCTACATTTCCTATGTGAAAATTAAATGTATTGGTCCTGATTTGTTTAATTGTTCCTGACCATGCAACTAAACTTTAGATTATAGGTCTAAAGAGCGGGATGACATATTTGGCTGAAAATTTCTAAGGTTTAATGTGCTATTTGGATGTATTAAAATAAAACTGTCACTCTCTAACAGGGCTCCTACTTTACAAGTGTGCCAGATCTTACATGTTACCCCTAACATTTTTCCAAAGGCCAATTTATGACTTCAAGTGAATTTGAAAGACTTTGAAATGACCCATCTACAATGGTTTTGTAAACTGTTGCTTAGTTTCTTCCATAGATTTGTCAATGAGGTATGCTTATGCATTTCAGTTTTACTAGCATTTTCCCTTGATTAAGCAAAGAAGGGAAAGTACTTAAGGTAATAATGTTCGTTAAATGCAAAACTTCATTTATGTGGGTATGTAAGGTAGATCTGTAATCAAGGGTTATATTCATGAGCCTGAAGGAACTTTAATATTAAAAAAACCCATAGTGTTTAATTCCTCAAAGTTTGTGTAAGTAGCAATGTGATGTAAAACAGAAAAATCACAGAATGCAGTATCTCCTTAACGTGTTCACGATGGTCATTCCAGAGTTAATGTGCTAACTTTATCCAGGGTGTTACTTAAGTGTTTATCATAAAATTCTTGACCCGTATTTTGTATGATTTTTAAAGTTCCCCTCAATTTAATGATTTAATAATTTTGTTTAACAAGTGATAAAATACATTCCTCTAAGTATTTCTTGTAGAATGTTTACCTCTTGATCCATTCTTGACCTTTTTCTGAATCTTAGAAATAATAATTGGGTTTTTTTTCTTCTAGCAGATTTTGGTGGATTTTTTGAAACATTATAAATATAACATTAGTCTCAAGCTGTTTTTGTTCTAAATACAGCTTTGGATCATGGTTTTTGAATGTTCAGACTGTATTTCTGAATACATCATTCTATTTTCATAATCTTGTATTGCTCTGAAGAGTGTTTTGTAGTTTATTTTGTCAGACTATTTAATTTTTTTGTCATAAAAGCTTTAGTAATATCTCTGGCTTATACTTCCTGAGGTTAAGGAGGCTTTTATTGTCTTTGTGAACTGATGTTAGAATGCTTTCCTCCATATACAACACCTCTATTGTCTAACCTGGGTATTGTATGGCAGTTTAGTATATAGTCACACTGTATCCCATGTGGATTTGGTGTAAATATTTGGGATTGGCTTTACTACACTAGCCTCCTACCTTTCTATATTTTTTGAACACG